TATTCAACGTCAAACTGGTACACAATTAAAACATTTTATTAAGATAGGCCTAAATAAAATGTTTTTAATTGTGTACCAGTTTGACGTTGAATATTATTTATGATTTTGTGTTTAGTATATTTATTATTAGTTGAACTTTTTAACTACTTATTTAGGTCATTAACAACCTGAACAGATCTTAAGAAACTGTTGGGTCCCTTATTTTGCATAAAAACTAAAAATTAATAAATTAGTTAAACATCGTTCTTCTATTAAATTTCATTGTTATGTCTCGTTTTCAGAATATGAAATAACACAATTTTTTTAAATGACGAAAAGTGAGCCCAATATTTCTTGTTTTTTCATTATGTCGGTATATATATACTTACTATTATTCTCAATAAGACAATTATTAAAAATTACTGATCTGTTTGTTTGTAATTAAGCACAAAGTTACACAATGGGCTATCTGTGCTCTGCCCATCACGAGTATTGAAACCCGGTTTCTAGCGTTGCCGCTGTGCCACTGGGAGCTAAAAAGTTACCGAACATTTAAATTTTGGTTATTTCGTATTTCCTAATATCTAAAGGTATGAGTAGGTTAAAGATTGAATTTGAATACATGACATCACCCCAGTAGTTCCCAACCTTGTTGTGCCGCTACCTCTAATCACGCCTTCAGGCCAGCGACGTATCCTTGACGTAAGGATTTTGTTAGAAGTAAAGTTAATAAAAACCTAAATCAAAATAAACGATTCTTGGGTGAGTGAGCAAGACGCGAACGTTCAATGCTGGTTTGTGGAATACAATTGTTCTCCAATTTTGAGGCATTGGTATTTATTTTGTTTTTAATGTTTTTCAAAGGGGCTTGGATACCTCAAGGGTTCGCGTACCACAGGGTGAGAACCACTGCGTTACCCCTAAAACTGTAACTGTTGCCAAGTGTACTCTCAAATATACTCTACAGACATGGGCGCTCGCAGGAAGGGGCAAGGGGGTCACTTGATTCCCCCTGGATTTTCAAAAATTAAAAAAATACTAGACATGTAAAATTCTTCTTCTATGTTATTGGAAAATCATAAGGTATTTGTATTTCGATTTCAAACTTGAGTTACTTAACCCCCTATTTTTTTTCTGTGGTCGCTCTTCTCTACAGACGGCAATAGTTTAAACTGATATTTTTCGTTCATTTACAATCATTGTTTTTCAGACTTTCATGACAATAATGCCTCATATAAAACCCATAAAATACAAACCAGTAGAATTCCAACCATAATTAAACTTTTTGAAAATTTTCCTTAATAAGTTAGGATTCGAAGGCCAACCCGTGAAACCTCTTGACTATTCACGACTTACAAAATCAATTAAACACACACACCCTCATTTTTAAAGTTACATTATAACTTGTAGAAATGCTAACTAGTAAGTTACATACCTGATAATAATAAACGTGCTTAAGATCCACTTAGTCTTAACACAAGGATGTTAGAAGTTTCACCAGTCTCGCGATGAAGAGAGTTCTACGCATGCCACGTGTCATACAAACTTCGTTACATGTTCACCAGTGACATACTTTTACAGCTCCAACCAACATGTCGTCCTTATTTCACCATATATGGAAAAGCAGGCCCGCCTACTTCTGTATTAGTACATCATAGCGGACAAATGAGGTGTACCAGATTTCTCTCACGCAGCTTATGCATAAATTATGTAACTTCCTAGACGAAACAAGTAGGATTAAGTTCTAACCCTAATTAACACTATATTTAACGTCAAATGAAGCACAGAAATAAATTTTGAATTCTATTGAGAAGCGATATACCCCCCCCCCCTCCCGATACCTGATTAAACGCTAGGAGCTTATTAAAATAACTTCTGCTTGAACTGTAGCATCTGTATGTAAAGTAAACGTAACTGTCTAGAAGATTAGGGCGCTGTGGTATATAATACAGTACCAGTCTCAAACATTCAGATACAACCTTTCATTTAGATTCGGTGCCAGCCTTTTACAGGTGTGGGGTCTTGAGGTGTACCAGACAGAAAATTGGGGTGTGGGGTGGGGCTTTGCCGTCAAGATGTGTAGATCACCAGTTGTGGTAGCTAAGAGGAAACTAAAGAAAATTTTGGGGTAGCTGTAGCCCCTCTTTAGCATCGCCCCTGTCCTTACTTAAGTCATTTTTACAACTGGAGAATGGATGTTCATTCAACAGATTACACCGAACATTAAACGTGACAGAACAGATTACACCGAATATTAAAATAGTCTCCAAGGCCATTCTATATTCTTAAGATATAGTGATAAAATAACCGCAGGTAAATATATTCATAATTTTTTTTAGTATAAGATACATTTCAAACTTCAATTTTTACTTGTTGTCAGATAAAACCTCAGATTATTGATAGTAATTTGAAACGTAGAATAATCAAAACACTTTGAATAGATGGATAAATTACATAGTAATTCGCTCGCATTATAACCCTAAACTGTAATTACACGTTTTCTGACTCGTGGGAACTGTTCAGACCTGTAGCCAAGTGCACACCATTGGCTCCAAATACATAGGTAGGTGGGGTTTACAGCACAGAAATATTAAATATGTGTGTGTGTGTTTGTATACAGTTCTCACTGGAAGATCTCTCTACACTGAGGATCAGCACCAAGAAGTATGAATCAATCAGTTTTACTACCAGCTTAATGAACAATTGTAAAATATTATCTTTGAATTTAACTGCTTACCTTGATTTCTTAAAATCATAAGAATATATCATTGCTTTCCTACTCTGATAGTTTTAGTTTTCAACAGGTATATGATTATATTAACTTACAGTAATGTCATTTTACAAGGTTCTCCACTTAACTTCCTACAGTGATATAGATACATGTAGGTTTCTACTATCTTACAGTAATG